CAAATGCAAGAAACACTAATCTGTTTTGTTTTGACAATGGCTCTTTGTTAAATTTATAAACAAAAGACAATTATCTGTCATGCTGTAAAAATTTACCTTAAATCTGTCTTTCAGTTATTGTTTTATCTAGTGTCTGCTAAGTAGATAGCAATGCTTTAACATATTAGGAAGTTCTTTCAGAGTAATGCCGTTATTGTAAAATAGCCCAATAAGCTGGGCTTGTGAGGCAGAGGCAAGCGATTCTCTGTGAGTTTGAGGCCAGCTTGATCTGCAGAGTGAGTTCCAGGACAGCCAGGACTGTTATATGGAAAAACCCTGTCTCAAAACAACAACAACAACAAAAATCAGCCCAATAAAAAAGATACCCATTTTATTGAGAGAGAGAGAGAGAGAGAGAGAGAGAGAGAGAGAGAGAGAGAGAGAGAGAGCGAGCGCGCTCATGCCTTTAATCCCAGCACTTGGGAGGTAGAGGCAGGCAGTTCTCTGTGAGTTCCAGGCCAACCTGGTATACATTGTGAGTTCCAGGATAGCCAGGGCTATTAACAGAGAGATTCTGTCTCAAAACAAACAAAAACCACACTAAGCTTTAAAAAGGTTAAATGAGGTGTTGGAGAGCGAGTTAAGTGCTTAAGAGCAGTGGCTGCTATTTCAGGGGAATTACATTCCCAGCACCTACACACACGGTGGCTCGGTTGTAACTCCAGTTCTAGGGCATCCAACACTCTTGTCTTCCACAGGCACCAGTTTTGCACATAGTGCACAGATACACATGCATGCAAAACACCCATACACATGAAATATAGTGAAATAAAGAGAGATTGAAAGATGGCTCCACAGTTAAAAGCCCTTAGTGTTCTGAGGGCCAGCGTTTGGATCCCAGTACACATTGGGCATCTCATAGCACCCTGTAATGCCAGATCCTCTTCTGATCTTCACAGATGTGCGTGTACACACACACACATACACACACACACACACACCCTCCCCCCTTGGAGACTGGGTCTTCATATATAGGCCTAGATTCATGGCATTCTCCTATCAACCTTCCTAGCACTATGATTATGGGGGGGGACACTGTCACCCCAGCTACTGTCATATTCTTTAAAAGTAAATTCCCAAAAGTAGTACTGTGTTAAAAGATAGGAATTCTACGAGGATTTCCATAAATCATACTACTTTGCTTCCCTAAAAGGCTTGTATGAGTGTTTGCCTAATGCATTAGCAAGCCCATTTCTCCCATGCTCTCAACAAAATGGAATGTTATCATTAAAAAAAAAAAATCCCAAACCAAAACCTTTTCCTAATTTAAGTTGGCAATATTTTAAATTGAATGCTTTTAATTGCTAGTAAGTTTTTAAATGTTCATGATCTTTTTAATTTTTTCTCATTGGCTTTATGCATTTATGGTCTCTTCTGGGTGTTAGCCTTTTGGCACTAGAAGTGTGTAATACTTAATATTGTCAGCCTAGTCGGTAGATGATACCAGAAGAGGAAAAGACACATAAAGGAGAGAGCCAGGGAGTGAGAGCCAGGGAGTCAGAGCGGAGCCGGAGATGGCCGTCTTCAAGTAGTAGTTAATCTAACGTCAGTGAAATGAGTATGCAGAGGCTCAGAGTGTAGAAAGAGGGATTAGATACTTTTCCTACTTTAAAGTGAACTATTTCTTACATTCTTATAGAGGAATTATTTTTCTTAGCATTTACTTAAGCAATTCCCTGTTATTCAAATTGTTTTTATATTTTACTGTGTTCTCAGCTAGAGTGACTGCAGTAGCTGTTTCTAGTTTAGTTTCATTTTTCTTTTTGGTTTTTTTTTGGGTTGTTTTGTTTTGTTTCAAGACACGGTTTCTCTGTGTAGCTCTGGCTGTCCTGGAACTCACTTTGTAGACCAGGCTGTTCTCAAACCTACAGAAATTCACCTGCCTCTGTCTCCCAAGTGCTAAGATTAAAGGTGTGGGCCGCCACCACCTGGCTTAGTTTCATTTTTCACAGCCTTGACTATGTTGCATTCTTTTAAAAAATTATATACTTAAAACAAACAAACAAAAAAAGCATAAGGTAATACTTGTTTATCTACTAGCTGCTGGTGGTGATGGTAGGGGAGAACACAGTTGAAGCAAAGCCCCTGGGACCTTTCCTCTGGTTGTTGGTTGTACTCTAATCTACTTAAGAGTGATAGTTTCTACCACTCTGTGTTATACCTGTGTTTCAGTGTGAGACTCGGGTTTTTGTAATTGAAGCAAGATGTGCTGTGGCAAGTATTTCTGCAGCTGAACTACCACTTTATCAATGCAGAGTGAAGTATGCTGTTACTTCGAGTCACTCACGCTTAGTCTTCTCTGGTAGCCAGTCTGTGCTTGGTTTAATTCAGTGTCCTGCCATTGGTGGGTCACAGGATTCAGAGATGGTAGGATTTAGAATATGTTTAGTTGTTTAGGGTGGGAGTTCTACAGGACGGGAGAGGAACAAGAGAACAAAATCCACCAGTCAGATTCGCTCCGAGCAGCCGCACCTTCCAGGTCTGCACGGCATTAGAACAGTAAGGTGTGTGG